CCTAGGGAGGATTTTATATGGGGTTTATTTTTTAGCAATTTGACAGAGACACAACTTTAAAATTTGATTTAATTCGGTTTTATTGGGGGGGGAATGTATTTATGTTTTGTTTTAAATATGTTGTGCGCCGCCCTGAGTCCCGTCGGGAGAAGGGCGGCATATAAATTAAATTAAATAAATAAATAAATAAAATAAATAAGGTATTTCTGATACCTTGAATACAGTAATTACTATTGCTTTCCATTTGGAGTTCTTTTCCATCTGAACATCCCGAAGGTACCATTCTTGGGGTAGAAACAAGGCCAGAGATTACTTTGCAGTGGCTGTTTGGTACATGACTGCAGCTTCTCATGGCTTTCTTGTTTTAAATGTGGTCTGTAAGAACTGTATTTATTATGTGTATCGTGGTTGTTATTTAAATTTGGCTTTGTCTGAGATACTAATTTTTGGCTGTGCATGGTTATGAATATTTGATGGTTGAACTACTTAGTAATTAATAGCTTAATAATGTATCATACATGAGAAAATAATGCAACTCCACTGCTTTAAACAGATGGATTGGCTGAATGGACTGGCTTATAAATCAGTATCACAAATTTGAAGAATAAATATGTCAGGGAAATACTATTTTCCTCTTATATTCTAGTTCACTTTGTAAAGGTAAAAGTTTCCCGATCCAGTCGTATCTGTCTCTCGGGCACAGAGTTCTTCGCCATTTCTTGGTCAACGGAGCCAGTGTTGTCCGACAACATTTTCCATGGTCATGTGGCTAGCATGGCTATACGCCAAAGACGCATAGGATGCTGTTACCTTCCCACTGAGTGTTACCTATTAATCTACTTGGATATGCATGCTTTCCAAGGGCTAGGTGGGCAGGAGCTGGGGCAGGAACGGGAGCTCACTCCATCGTGCAGCACTTGGATTTTTATATGGGACCCTAATTATTCCATAAATTGGCAGTAGAAACCTTAATGCACACAGGGACTCCTTCCCAATTTAACCCAAAATTATTCTGGCATTTTATGTATGATATGCCTAGCTTATTTTATTTTCAGTTATAATAGTTACGATTGAATAAAGACTTTTTTTCCAGAATGAAATACTAGCCTTTATTTCTTAGAACATTTGATCCCAAATATATTCAGAGACATTACTGGGAAGTAAAAGCAATGGACAGCTGAAAATAACTACTTCATTTTGAAGTGGTCTGGAGGTGAGACAGAGGATGGAAGAAGGCTTGAATTGGAAACGTGACCAAACAACAAAAAGGATAAAGAGACAAGGAATAGCAAGTGTGTGAATGATTTCCACTCTTAATAAATTTGTTGTTAAGTGTAGATAGAAAAATTGTGGACCATTGACAATTGACACTGTCATAGGAAGTGCCATTTATTTCACTGTGTTATGCTTGTATATATTATATTTCATTTTGTTTTGCTTTTGTTGATATGTTGAGCCTTAGGCAACTTTTTTTTCTAAAGAGTTTTCTCTTTTGCAACTAAACTGTGTGAATAAGAGCTCATATTAACTGAAGGTGATATTGAAGAATTGTTAAGTGTTAGGGACTGTAAGTATGTTTAGTTAACATTGTAATGAAGATTGCCTTTTGAATTGTAATCTAAGAAATTGGAAACATTCAAGTGCAGTTCTTAGGACAAAAACATGATAGAATAAACAACTAAAATAGAATACATAGTAGCAAATGTGTATTACTATCTTTCCTACTTTCTCTTTAGATAAAACATATTAATCAGTGTCAGGTGGAATACAGCACATAATTACAATACATTGATTCCGTAGGGTGGTGTTAAGCAAAGTAGTTGATTAGTGTCTGTTAAATAATAGTCTAAATTTAATGCGAGCTAATAATACTTGTGAACTGAAAATAAATTCTACTCTTTCAAAGTGTTCTATCATTTTAATGGCAACCATAAAAATTACTTACCTGGAAAACTAATATTAGAAAAGAGATATATATTTAGTAGCCTTTTGATGTTAAGCAGCAGCTGGGGGGAAAAGCAGGCAGCCTGCTCAAATGATCAGCCAACTCCTCAGATCATCAACCACTTCGTGGGTCATCGTTCAGAATTCTTGCTTTAATGTACTTGCAGATGAATAGAACACTTTTTACAGGGTTTTGCTAATAGTTATATTTTAGGAATATTGCAGATTTTAGCATTTAAGCTCCATCAGTGGGTTTTCGGGGAGCTTTTTAAAACGTCCAATGATCCAGAATTGTCTAAAATTATTTTTAATAGAAGATTTTGTAGTTCATTAGTATGAAATATTGTGTTAATAAACCTATCAAGTGAATGGTCTACTCAACCATTATAACATCATTATAAATATTTTTAGTATAGATGTATTTTTTATCATTGAAATCAAACTGAAAATTCAACTCTATGATTAATAGCTGTGGTTAAAGAAAGTAAATCTTGAAAGCATGTGACCATATTTTTATACCAAATTTTTTGCATCAATATTTGTGTCATTTACCAGTAAAAAGAAAATACTGAGGGCTCAATGTTGAAATCTCAGTCTAAATTTTACACATGCTCTCACATGCACACACACAGAGAGATGTAGATGTTCAAAGTCTGTCATATCTAAGCTCTATGACATGCTTAGAGTTCTCGTGAGAGGACTTGAAATCTTACTTTCATCTGGAAAGTTCTCACCTTAAACTGCATACTAACATGAAAACCAACTGCACTCCAGTAGTGAAGTTAGGCCTGAGCATTTGTAATAAAGTCCTCTTGTCATTTGGGAACTTTCTGCTATGGTCACCCAGAAATTGACATGACAAGGACAATAGTAATACATATCTTGTATCTGTACCTGACAACATGATATTTATATATCCAACGGAGGCAGATACTGGCTAGTTAGGCATGTGTGTACAATTACTGCTGCCTATTTTAGTAGCTCTAATTATTAACCCTTTCCTGTAACAATGATTGGTGCTTATGATATGTCTCAAGTCAATATAAATGTAAAACTGCACACATTTGGAATTATTGATATATTTATTTACAGATATGTTAGGCATATGGAAACAGTAGTAAAGCACTGGAATGCTGGGAGGAAAAGCACTGGAATGCTGGGAGGAAAAAAATTAGTGTTCTTCCCAATTAAAGTAATATAGCTGATTTGTATTAAAGGAACACAGTTGTTTCAGTTGCTTAATCTTTTATTGATAGATATAAACTGAAAGTGAGATGAATTACTTTCATTTTATTCATGAATTAAATATTCAGCTATTTATTCTTTATTCAATAAGTAACTTTCCTAAATTAATTGTCTTTCTGTCTTTGTGATGTAGGTAACATAATCCATGGGTAAAGTTGGGAAAATGTGGAACAGCTTCAAGTACAGATGCCAAAGTCTCTTTAATCCTGAAGGTGGAAATAGAAATGAAAATGTAGACATAAATTCCAATAGTGCATCTGTTAGAGATAAAAGTGTTTGCGTGCCTGGTCCAACTCAGCAGCAACCTAGCAGTCCTTTGCAACTTAATCTAAATATTTCAAAAGGCTTTTCGAGGAAGAATCAAAACTGTGCCACAGAAATCCCTCAGATTGTTGAAATAAGCATTGAGAAGGAGATTGACTTGAATGCTGCCTCGGGAGCTAAATTTGCACGAAGGGATTCTTACTCAAGGCATGCTCCATGGGGTGGGAAAAAGAAACATTCCTGCTCTACAAAAACCCAGAGCTCTTTGGAAAGTGATAAAAGATTTGGCTGTTCTCACTTGCAAAGGAGGGAAAGAAGATACGGTGTGAGCTCAGTTAACGATACCGATAGCATCTCTAGCAGAACCATAGGAAATCGTTCTCTGAGGCAAAGATTGCAAGAAACTGTAGGCTTATGTTTCCCTATGAGAACATACTGCAAACAATCTAAGCCTCTTTTTTCCAACAAAAGGAAGATCCATCTTTCTGAACTAATGTTAGAAAAATGTCCTTTTCCTGCTGGGTCAGATCTGGCCCAAAAGTGGCATTTAATTAAGCAGCACACAGCTCCAGTGAGCCCACATTCTGCTATTTTTGATGCATTTGACTCCTCCTTGGCTTCTACAGAAGATGAGGAAGACAGGCTGAGAGAGAGACGAAGGCTCAGTATAGAAGAAGGGGTGGACCCTCCTCCCAACGCTCAGATACATACTTTTGAAGCTACTGCACAGGTTAATCCATTATATAAATTAGGGCCAAAGCTGCCCCCTGGCATGTCTGAACTGATGGGAGACTGCAATTCAACAACGCAAGGAAGTTGTGATTTGGAGGAAGACACAACTACTCTCTGCTTGCAGTCACGTAGACAAAAGCAGCGCCAAATATCTGGTGAGAGCCATAGCCACATCAACAGACAAGGAGCTTGGAAAGTACATACTCAGATTGATTATATTCACTGCCTAGTGCCAGACTTACTTCAGATTACCAGTAATCCATGCTACTGGGGTGTGATGGACCGTTATGAAGCAGAAGCACTTCTAGAAGGAAAACCTGAAGGCACTTTTTTGCTCAGGGACTCTGCTCAAGAAGACTACCTCTTCTCAGTGAGTTTCCGCCGTTATAACCGGTCTTTACATGCACGCATCGAGCAATGGAATCACAACTTCAGTTTTGATGCTCATGATCCCTGTGTGTTTCACTCCTCTACTGTAACAGGGCTTCTGGAACACTACAAAGATCCTATTTCTTGCATGTTTTTTGAACCGCTACTTACAGTTTCTCTAAATAGGACTTTTCCTTTCAGCTTGCAATATATCTGCCGGGCAGTAATTTGCAGGTACACTTCATATGATGGGATTGATTGTCTTCCTTTGCCAACAATGTTGCAGGACTTTCTGAAGGAATATCATTATAAGCAAAAAGTTAGAGTACGATGGTTGGAGCGGGAACCAATTAAGGCAAAGTGAATAGAGTTCAGAATCCCTAGTAAACTCACATTGTGATTTTTTGTGTATTTGTTACAGTATACCACGGTAAGCACATCAGTGTTCAGCTTTTAATGTACTTTGAGCTTATTGTGTTTATGATGCTGCCTCCAGTTAGTTGTGAATACCTCTTGAAACATGAACAGAACACAAAGTCACATTTTTCATCCATTATAATTTGTCACTTACAAAATATGTCTACTTTCTATTATAATATTAATATAAGAAAGCTATTGGGCATTAACTTTTAAATTCTATTCAGTTTCATAATTTACAATAAAGTAGCTTGCTAGCTTTTTTCTTCTTGATTAATATGAGCACTTAGATACCAAAAATTGATTCAGTATAACTGCATTGTCAACAAAAAAGTACTACTTTTCACAGTTCACTATCTCCTATGCCACTTTTTATATCAAAACTGTTTTAAGAGGAAAAATCATCAGTAACAGGGGAAATCATATAACATGTCATTTCTGTATTTTTAAGTCACGTGCATTAAGACGTTCTATACCAATAGTTGGTTCCAGGATTGCCTCCAAATTAAAATATTTTAATAGATTAATCATGTGGGAATAATTAGATAATTAAATTTGTCAAAAAAGAATATAAATCAAAAATAATTCTAAAACAGGAAAAAAAAATACTTTCAGGTATATTGACAGTAGATGAAACTTATAGTGTGGTATAGAGGTCCCCAATTCTTAGGTCGCAGACTGGCATCGGTCTGTGGTCTGCCAGGAACCATGCTGTGACAAGCAAGTGAAGCTCCATCCACGCACGTGCAGGATCCAGGCAGTGCATGAAACCATGCCCTGCCAGTCCGTGGAAAAACCGCCCTCCACAGAACCAGTCCCTGGTGCCCAAAAGCTTGGGGATCTCTGGTCTAGCAGGTCTGATGGATGCAAGGCAAGGTTGCCCTATCAGTACAGCAAAGGAGAAATACCTCTTCAGAAAAGCCATTTCTTGTTTCATTAATCAGAGTCATCTTCACTCTGCTTTTTTTTAATTAACATTTTACTATTTTAAAAAATCCAGTAGCTTTGAATTAATCACTGCAATAAATATAGTGGTTAAGCTGAACCTTGCCCTAGAATTAACAGCTGAATTTTTTATTAACTCAGAAGTTCTCAGTCTGATCTGCAATTTCTGTTCAAGAGGCTTGTGGAAACTTAGTGTAACAGTGAAGAGTACCTGTAGGATCTTGCATTTGATTTATATTTTCTGATCATGGTGATCAAGGCCATTTTAATCTGGGTTGGATTATGAAACAGGCTAACACGACCTTGTTCCAGGTTTCTGCTTTTCAAAATAGCATACTGCTACAGGCTACTGCATTTAGTAATTAAAGGGACTCTTAACAGCCTAACCGTATGCCCATTATTTATAAAAGCATTGTTTCTGAGGATGCTAGTACTAAAGAAAAAGGTTTATTCAAATATGGGTTGCGTGCTTCAATTGGTAGAAAATTAATTGGGATCTCATGAACCATTTAATTTATTTCAACTTGTGTAGCTTGTCAAATATAAATTTAAAAACATACTACTCTAATTTTTTTACTTCTTCAGAAAAATATTTTACATACCCGCTACAAACTGCAATATCATCTAGATTAGTTATAGTTTAAACTGATCCAGAACAATTAATACTCTATCCCACTTCTGTTTTTCTCTGATCCCTATTTGATGCATCAGAACTGTTGTATTTGTAAATCGTATAGCAGCTTTTTTATAATTTGCCTATTGTGTTCCTCCTTAAGTGAAATACTTTGGAAAATGTGCTCTTTTGCTTTCTTTCTCCTTTGGGAACAGAACATATCTTGGTTTTGTTCTAGCTGTGTTTGCACTAAAATTTGTGTTGGAATACAGAGTCCCTTAGTTTTGCTTATGTGTCTTGTATCAGTGGGTAGTTTTCTTAGTTTCTTAACCAGTCGCGACAGTATATTCTTCTCCATAGCAGCAAATGTGGGTGAGAAACTTCAAAGCTGCATATACAAGAAAGTTATATTGTATGTCAACAGTAACCAGTTTATCCACATATGTGTTTTTCTTCTGCTTGGTGTGCCTTGTTACAGCTTTTTGTGTGCGTGTGTGCAAATAAAGTACAATATTTTCAATTTTATTCTTGTACAATTACTCCTACATTTGCATAATACTTCTTGGAGCTATTAACATTTTTAGAACCTTGGAAATGGTCAAATCTACTTGCAGTTATATATTACTTTGCTACTGATGTGATTACACTTTTTATTTGTTTTTATTGTTGTAAGCCACCTAGAGTAGCCCCATGGCAAAATGGGCGGCAAATAAATTTAACAAATAAATATAAATTAATTTAGACAACAGCTGCAACACTTGCAAGCCAACTTATTCCATAGGATGATTGTGGTGAGACAAGAGTGCTATATAGGTAACTACCACCTTGAGTTTTTGGAGGAGAGACAGGATACCTATCAAACAAACTTTTAAATAATTTGCATCTGATTGTTTGCTGGTCAGGCAACCAGACCACCAAATCTCAACCTCAATGTAATTATCTAAAATTCAAAAGACAACCATCCTCAAGGTTTAAATACCTTTCCAGTTGTAAATCTACTTCAATTTGCTGCAAGCAGGAATTTTGCATTTTATTTTCCCAAACCCATTGAAATACTAGTTGCTGAAGAGATGTAGGATACCTTTCCTTGCTCTAGGGTTGAGAAATTTTACCCTTCAAAGTGATCTGTAGCACTATTAAAATAGTGTGGGTTGTTTTTTTATAACATTTTGTTGTTCATTTCATTTAAAAAACATGCAGTACTGGCCCCATTTTTAGCAACTGGGAATTGCATATTCTTCCAGAAAATTAATATTTATTTTATACTGAATCAGAAAAAGAAATATTCAGTTGAGTTGAAACTGGAATGCTATAGAAACTCTGAAGTTCTAAAATTTAAAACCAATATGTATTTTTATTTCTTATTATAAAAACAAAATGGTGCTCCATTCAAATCTCACCTTTTATTCAGAATAATTTCTACTGTGAATTTCTGGCAATAATATTACTGTGAGATCCTAGTGATATAGTTTGAAATGCTTTTACTGATAAACCATTACTTATTAAGTTTCTGTTTGACCTGTTAATACAGTGATTTCACTAAGAACACTCTTCTTGCATCTGATTTGGATTTTATATTATTTGGTGATGTTTATTCTTACTTCTATTTTTTGAGACAGATTGACTCCATTGAGACTTTTTCCTTTTACCGTGTTTCCCTGAAAATAAGACCCGGTCTTTTTTTTTTTTGCCTCCAAAAGAGGCACCAGGTCTTATTTTCAGGGGATGTCTTTTCCATGGTCTCACCTCACAGCAGTGGCACCGACAGCCCCGCCCAGCTTCTTCTGTGGCCGCTTGCGCACGCCGCCCCTGGCCTCCATTTCGCTGTCAGAGGCCATCAGGAAATGCCTCTGCAGCTGAGAATGGAGCTCCAGATTGACATGCGCAGCACACACACACACACACACACACACACCGCCTGCATTTCACCATCAGAGGCCTTCCAGAAAGGCCTCTGCAGCCGAGAACTGAGCTACAAGCGGCTGGAGAAGTGGGCCGGCGAGGCAGGTGTTGATTCATGGGAGGCCTGGCTGCAACGGTAAGTGGGTGTGGGGTGCATGGGGCAGCTCCATCCACCACCACCACCCTAGTTTGATTTTTAGGCGTGTGCCTCGCCCCAAAACTAGGGCTTATTTTGGGGGTAGGGCTTATATTAGGCCCACCCACCCCCCCAAAAAATGAAGCTAGGGCTTATTTTCAGGGTAGGTCTTCCAGGGAAACATGGTAATAGCCACAGCTTGTTTGAAATCAAATTCCTTTTTAAATATGGCATTCGTTTCCAAGAATGACGTTGCTTTTTTGTTTTAGTACATATATTTCTTCATAACAAATGCTCAAATAAACACAACACATGCTGAAATTATCCTTAAAACAGCTGGCTATATTAGGAAAAGTGATAAAACCTAAAAGCAAATATCACCTACTGAATTCATGGTAAGGAGGCACGTTACTATTGGGTCTCCAGAATTTAAGTAGCTGTCTCATGTTTAGATGTACAAGTATAATACAATTGGATCTCATTTGCATAATAGTGCCACTGAACTGCATTGCTCAATACAACCTCTCCTAGTTTCATTGATATAGATGAGCATTTGTTAAATAGTGAAGGAAGTAAAACTAAAAATTAAGCCCCACTATAACGGAACTTTTTTTTATTCATACAAGTAGGCTTGCACTATGAAATAGGTAAGTCTGATATTTATATGTGTCCGTATATGTGTGTCTATATATATGCACAAACACTCTCTCTGTATGTCATGTATTATTGTTAATATATATTTCAAAACCAGAGTGATCTAGGTAAAATTAAAATCAATAAGACCATCTATCCTAAATACAAAAAATTAAATATATTGCAGTATGCGTTGGAGACATTTGAGTAAACAGGCATGCTCTTTGTGATTTAAAAGGAGGGGGTGCTATCTATCCACCAAGAAATCGTCCTCCTGACTATTTTGCTGTAAGAGTTATGTATTCCTTATAGTGGGCAAGATGGTATTGGACATGGCAATGTCAGCACCTTAAATTGGGCTTGATAGCTTACAAACAGGCAGTCTAATACTTTCAGGCCCAGAGGTCCTATCTAATAATTGGATGATTGTATTCTGTGCTCGTTGCAGAATCCAGACTAAGTTCAACGGGACCCCAGTGCACTGTCCATTGCAATAAAGAGATTATTAATAGAAGATCTATAGATCCAGTTCCAGTTTTGAACAATGACTTAGTTCGTCGAAGCCACACAAAGCACCAAGTTGAGCTGTTCTAATTGACACAGCAGATATAAAGTGTAGGAGTGAGGAGAACCCATCACATTGATAGATTGGAGATAACTAATCCAAACTGATGATCTGCTTTGGAAAATGAATTCTGATACACAATTTAATCTGAAAAGTGAAAGTGAAGTCATTATTATGTCATAGACTACTGAGATTACTGAGTCTGGTCTGTCTCAAGTCTACATAGTATCATAGCTGATAGAGCCAGCAAAGTTGGCTATGAGCTTTCTTGCCACTTGCCATCATGTGAGCTCTAGTGACACAACAGAATCAAGTACAGCCCCCCAAATATATAGATTTTCCTTCAGAAGGAATATTGTCTCATCCAAAACAAACTATCTTCCTAATTGTTGGACTTGAAAAATGACCAGGCAAATAAATTGTATGTATTACATTTGATGTCTGCATTAAAAATACAGAAGAACTCATTAATTTGCCATACATTTTTATTTTGATAATCAGAAAAAGAAAGGCAGTGATTTGCTCTCCCACTTAGCAGTTTATTAAGAACCCTTCTCTGAATAGTGTAGAATATTCTCCTAGCCCAAAATAACTTCACAGCAATCTACAGGGCATAAGGGAAAGCATGTTTAATGATATTTCAACAGCAGCAGAAAGGTACCTAATGACATCCCTAAGAAGTATTAAAATGATGATTGTAACTGGAATTGTTGCCAAGATGAATGTTGAAGAATCGGGAAAATTCATTAGGTATCTTTCAACAAAACTTGTTAAT